GTCTGCCACTATGCAGAATTTAACCAAATGTTGCTCGATTGTCTCACTAATTTTGCATTTTTTGTACCTTTTCTCTGATGGCAAATCACTCCTCTTCATCAAATTTCGTCCCAAGTTTTCTCGTTTCGTTACTGTCAAGTTAGATTTTTGTTTTGTTTTGTTTTTTTTTTTTTCTCCACAGCATTTTCGGCTTTTTTAATATATATGCACAACTTAAAAGAATCATACATTCATTTTTATGCGTTTTGCGCTGTGTAACAGCAATACAAAACTCATATTGGAACGGGATTGTCTGTGTGCGTATGTGTGTTTGTCCGCAGCAACTTGTCCGCAACTACTCGGGAACCACAAAAGCTAAGAAGCTGAAAATTTAGGGGAATGTTTCCCACTCACATGTGACCCCGCAAATTTAAATTCAGCCTCCTCACATCCGCGGATAACATATATGACGCCGTGAAACTTTTGGCAGGTAAACTGTTATCTCGGGAACTGTGGAATCTAGGAAGCTAAAATTTTGGTGGGCTGTCCCCTGCCCACGTGCACCCCTTAAATTCGAAGCAGTGAAAATCATTAGCAGGCAATCGTTCGGTGGATGGAGTTGCACAAAACGCATGATCACACCGGCTGCGCTGGTGCGCGTCGCTATTTATTTTTCTGCTTCACAGCGGGACTCCTGGCTAGTTGCTTTTTAAAAAAATTTGTGAAATTAGAGTTTGCTGCTAACTGCCATGTTCCGGGCTTACCTCTTGTCTACTGTGACGTTGAGAAATTTCCAGTGTTAATGCTTCCATTATGTTTCAGGTGAATACTGTCATTGACATTGGTACGTCGTTATATTCGCAGTATCGAGAACTCACCCATAAGTTCGAAGACACCTCAGGATTTCAGTCGAATTCGGAAAAAAGTGAAACAGATTCCGATTCGTTTATGGTATATTTGACACTTCTTTCCTTATCTTTTCGTAGAGGAAATTGGAAAAATTTGGAATCTTAAACAAAAATTGGTACTTCTTTAAAAAGTAGTCAGTATTTTTGCACTTACTGAGGGCCGTGGTATTTTGCACAGACAGTTGCGGAATTCATCTGACGAAGGGAAAAAGTCAGCCGTAAAGACGCAACATTTAAGTGAAATATTGTGCAGCCATTTAGTAGCTTTTAAGTTCGTAGAAAGACACAATAACAGACACAATAAATTTAAGCATTTTTGATAAGCATGGAGAACGTAGCGTGGTGTATACCTTTTTATGCGTTTTTTGCATCTATGCCATGAGTGGGCAACCGGCGGTCCGCGGATCCGGCCCGCGAAGGGAATCGGAATGTGATGCCTAATTAGACGAACGGGGGTTTTGTAGGCAACTACTAAAGCTCGGCTCGGCTATCCCTCGGCCGCACCCCGGCCAGCCTCGGCAGCGGCACGAGTTGCCGGTTTATGAGCACTGTAGTGGGGGAGCAGGACAGGGAGAGGGGAGAACAGAGGAAAGGAGGGAGTGGGGACG